CAAGAATCCCTTGTCTCAGCCTCAACTACTACAATTACAATTGGGAACATTTGTTCATTCTTATCGATAGATATTACACTCAAAAGGTGGCCACCATATGAACCCTTCAAAAAGCAACCATCAACACCAATAAGTTGCCTACAACCTTCTTTAAAACCCTTCCTCATTGCAGTATAACAGATGAAAACCCTTTGAAATCTCCTCACATTCTCTTCACATGTGGGGTCAGTTTGAATTTTAACAACACTTCCAAGGTTGGATGTATATACTAAATGATAGTATTCCCTCATCTTTTGATATTGTTTTGCTTTATTTCCCTGAATGATTTCAATAACTTTTCTCTTTGCCCTTCTTACTTTGTGTTTGGACACATCAATGTGCATATCGGAAGCAATAGTGGTCCTTAGTGTATCACAAGGTATGGTTAGGCTCATTCTCACTTGCTCTAAATACTTGGTGGCTAAGTAAGAAGAGGATGCTTATCCATTAGTTTGAAACCAAAGGCAATTGGGATGTTCTGACTGATATGTCTTCACTATCAAGCAATCCCGACCTTCTGGTTTGCTTGCAAATACTTTCCACCCACATTCAGCCTTACATACTACATAGATCCTATCACCATCATTTATTTTGAACTTTATATTAAACCTAATCTTCAATGTTATTTCTTTAAGTGCCAATCTAAAGTGTTCAGCTGTCCCAAATTTCATTTCTAATTCTAGTTCTTTTACATCCAAGTCCCTTGAAGGAATATACTCTGGGTACTTAGGAGCACTAACCTCCTCATCTGATGCACATAAACTGATTAACTCATCACTAGGAGTATAATCTGAAATCTGTTTAAAAGTATCATTATTTGACCTATTTGAGTCTAAGCTATTTGTTGGAAGCTGAATCTCTTCCCCTTGCACATTCAACAGAGGTGCAACAATATACAACTTGATGATGGTTGTTACCCTCTCAGCTTCATAGTCATAAAACATCCTAAGTACATCTAAGTCACACCTAACCTCTCTAAAGCTTTGACTACCCTAAAAAAATGGTACTTTGTAAAACACTTCAACCAACTCCCCATATCCCATGTTATCTACCATCTCCTGAATATCATCATATGACATGATGTCTGGGTCAACTGTTAGAATCATAGTGAAATCTTCTCCTATGTATGACATAGGGGGTGTTTTAGAGAACATATCCCCGTGATGGAATTCAATGCTGTAAAAGTGCATCTATATAACATAAACCCACATACTTTAATCACACTTGACCTAACAGTAAACAAATAAAAAAGTTAACGAAATACTTTAATCACACATTAAAGTAAACAACTAAAAAGGTTGTTGAGATTTAAAAATGTCAATAATAAGTAAAAAAAATTGAAAAGTGTAATAGAGGGTACATTTAAATAAGAGTAAAAAAAAAGAAAAAAAAAAGAAAAAAAGGACCCACTTGTGATACCCCTCGATTCTAGAGCCATGGGTGATCAAATCCGAGCACAGATCCGAGGGATACCAAACAATTAATATTTAAACAAGCAGGATTACAAAAGAATTAAGAAATAAATAATAAAAGCTGAAAGAATTCTAAAATATAAATCCTTAAAATTAACTAATTAAAATCCAATAATCCCAAATTCTCCAATATTTAAACAACTTGGGAATCTATCTGGTAGACCCCTAATAAAATCCCAAACTGAAATGTAAACAACTGAAATAAAATCCAAAGCTAAACCATGAAGGGAAATCCTACGTAGTCGGAAGAGTGAGTAGCTGTCTCTGCTCAGCACGAACATACTCTAGGCCTGGAACTGTCGAACACCTGAAAAATGATAGGGGGTCAGGCCTATGAGTAAGTTCTATTCTACTACAATCCAAACAGAGACCCGATACGTTTGTACATTCTAGACAACTTAACAATAGCTAACTAGTCCATATATGTATAAGTACACACTATAGGACGCTCACTGTATCATAAACCTGTCTCAACCTGAATAGAAGGTAACATGCAAATCGCATATAAAGTGGGCATGTATACCTAGACCTACCAGGGGACCAGGTGTCTACTATGTCCAGTTATCCATCTTAGGCAATATACGCGCCCTAACCATGATCTTGAGACTCAATCTCATATCACGGTACCATAATCATATATTTAAAATCCATTCAAAACCAAAGTAACGTCATTCAACTATTTGTTGACCTGTCATACATATAAGTAGGACTTAACTTTTAAAGTTAATCCGTTCTTTTATTCCAGAGTAAGTAGGACTTAGCGTTTTGAGCTAATCCATACCTAATATGCCATCGCCCATACCGGTGCATATAATCCACAAATTCAACAATTGATAATACAGACAATAAATGTAAACATCAATTGATCCATAATAAGCATAATAAAAAAATATATAAATTAACATGCTTATTTGATACTACTCCGCAAAATCCAAAAATTAATAATACAAATAAAATATGTAAACATCAATTAATTCCTAATAAGCATAATAGAAATATATAAATTTACATGCTTATTTTTTTGCCACTGAGACATGATTTAAACTATATTATATATAAACCAATTGCTAATTTAGAGGTAAGCAACTTAAATCATCCGCATCCAAAACCAATATGCAAGTTTAGTTAAGAATTTCATATTGTTCCTATACTAATTTCATGTGGTTTATTATGCATTATCATGCCCTTTGGAGTTTTAATATGACCTTAGACATCACCGAAAACCCCCAGTATAGCTCCTAATTGAACCTGGAACTTCAAAATCCAAGCACCGTGGCCCAGAAACTCGTCAAAACCATAAACCAAGAGAGGAGCCGCCTCCCCCATGGAAGGAGCCGCCTCCACCAAGCATGGAGCCGGCTCCCCCCTCAAGGGAGCTGCCTCCTTAGTGTGTAGAGCCGGTTCCCCCCCCATGGGGAGCCGCCTCTTTGAGAGGCGATCCGCCTCCCTTCAAAAGAGAGCCGGCTCTCCTCCTGTGTTTCCTCCTCTGCTTAGCCTCCGACGACTTTCAAAATATCCGATTACTTTTGCTAAGGTCCCTAACCCTCTGTTCTAAGTTCCAGACAGTCCAAATTAAATATCCAAATCCTTTATGTGTTAAACAACCCAATCAAAACAAGTACTCATGCAAGAAAACTTAAAATCAAGCAATTACTAATTTGTTTAAACACATACTGTTTTAATAGAATCTAACATGCATAAAAGATTAATTTTACGTTTATTTACTCCTGGAATTGCTTTAGGCATGTAAAGAACACAGGTCAAAGGGAAGGAGTTAGATATAAACCTTCCCTTTAGGTTTCAGTTTGAAACCTTGCAACTTCGTCTTCCTAAACTTTTTCGGCAATTCCTACTATTCTTAACTCCTCTGTTGCCCTTGGTTCTACCTACGAACAACACTCCACTCTCTCCTTGATTCAGCCTTAGTCGTAGCCAAACCCTAGTTTTCCTCTCTCTGTTTTCTCTCAGACTTCTTTATACATGAATAGGGTTTTTAAATCCCTCGGCAGACAAACAAAGCTAAATATATAAGCTTAAAAACACACAAACCCTAATTCTACATATTGTAAGAGAAGGAAAAATATATAATTAAAATAAATACACAACTAAGTCAGCTATCCCACACCCTGTGATTCACACATATATATAAAATCATAGAATTATATATAATACGTATATATTGAAAAGTGATCCTACTATAGCCATTATTAATTATTAATAATTAATAATGTAATTAACCTTATACACATATATTCCCATATATATATATATATGTATAATCATCCATGGGCATTAACTGTACCCTTTTAATCTCCTATCCAATTTCTCCATACTATCCAAGCCCATCTTTAAATAAAATTTAAAATAAAATAAACCTTTAAATTCTACCAATTAAAATACACATCATCACATAACAGATAATACAATTAAAACATTTAATTATATTATTCAATTAATCAATTTATTCAAATATGGTCAAATAAAGCATACAATTTAAATTAATAAACAATTAAAACAAATAATTCAATTAGTCACTTAAACAATTATACAAATAACCAAATAATAAATTTAAAAGTGCAATAAAATCATAAAATAAATACCGAGACCATCCTTTTAAAATTAGGGGTATTACACTACTGAATGACAGAACATAACATATAAAACACAAATAGTGATGCAATAAAGAACAACAAGATCATATCTTTATACATAGGGCACATATCACAAGTCATTTTCTGTCGGTCCACAAAAAAACAGAACTTTAAATTTTTTTAAAAAAATTGTTAGCAAGATTCTTTACATAATAAATCATGTACTATAAACCTTAAATTGGTACAATGTTCAATGTTGAGCCAAATGTTTCTACCAAAAATTATACAGTCATGCACCATTATCACGTCCAATTCACAAATGAAAAAAAAAAAAAAACAAAAAACAAAAATAACAAGAATCCTAAACCCGAATATTCTTCAATAAAAAATAGTACAACACTTGAGAAAAGAAAAATAAAATCAAATTATAATACTAAACCCTAACATTTTTGAGACATAAAATCGTACCCTATAACACTATAACAGTTGAGATTAGTAAATCGCAACTACTTTTCGTGAATTAACACAATATTTAGCAATTAATAATCATATATTTACCGATTCAAGAACAAAAATCAAGTACGCTTATGGTTTTTGCCTTCTTCTTAGTTAGGATCCTTGGCTTCAGAAGCTTGGTGGTCTCCAAGCCAAAGTAGTTGTAGTCGGTGCAAAGGGAGAATGAGATATAACTGAGGTGGTTCACGTCCTTATACCTAGGGTAGTTAATAAAGTGTTTGCTGAGGTATCAATTTGTTATTGGCTCTTTATATTACAATCTGCTATATCATTGGGTTCAATTTAGGCCTAAGAAAGTTTAATAAAATTACATCTGTATGAGGGTATTAATGTCATTTAATATTTTCAGTGAGGGAGTTTGCCTGTTGTCCTTGATTGCAACAAATAGATAGTTCAAGAGTTTTGTTTTTTATTTTTATTATTTTATTTATTTATTTGTTTTGTTTTGTTTTTTTTTTTTTTTTGAGTTAAGGGGATTAGATTAGTTATTGGCCCATGGTTTAGGGTTTTTTTTTTCCACTTTACCCTGTTAAATATGAGAAGTCTAAGATCGGTTGTAGAAAGCGAAACCATAAACTCTATAAAGGAGAACTACTATTAATTCGTCCTCACTCCCCGACTCCGCCTTCAACGCTCCACGCCTCGTTCTGCTAGCTAGAGAGAGAAATAAACCATGGCAGATATAGAGAGAAGTCCTTCTCATCGTCAGCTTTCTCTCTGCAACTACTTTCCTGGAAATTTTCTTCCCACAAGAAAGAATCAAAGAAAATGAGCGTCATAGACGTTTTATACCGAGTTGATGCTATTTGCAAGAAATACGAAAAGTACGACTTCGACAAGCAGCAAGAGCTCAATGCCTCCACCAGTGACGCCTTTGCTCGCATCTACTCGGCTTTCGAATCTGAAATCGAAGCTGCTATTCGCGTCAGAATTATTTCATCTCTGTCTCATTTTACACATTTTTGTGTGCGTATATATTTATATATTTATTGTTTGTGGTCTTGAATTTGTTAAAATATGCAGAAATCGGAAATTGCGTCCGTGGAGAAGAGTAGGGCCTATGTGGTTGCGATGAATGCAGAGATTCGTCGAACAAAGGCTCGGCTATTGGAAGAAGTTCCTAAATTACAGAAATTGGCGCTGAAGAAGGTGGAGTAAACATTTTTTTTTTTGGTTTATTTAATTTAAAAGCGTTTCCGTCATTCTCTGAGGACATGATTTTAGTTTGCAATGCATTCACGTTAATCAGAGACTCTTTATTTGAGTATATATGTATACACACATGGACATAATCACATGAACTCAAATAAGCAAGTTGGGCTATTTGCGCGCACTTCAATTTGACATTTGTGTTGTTGAAAAGCATTGAAGATATTGGTTAGATATAGCTTGGTGATACCAGTTATTGATTATTCTATCATTAGAAGACTCATATAAAACAAAAGAAAGCGTGACTTGGGGAAACATGGGCATTGAAAATATAGAGTTTTATGTACAATTATATAATAAGCATGAATTTGGATGTGCTTGTTATGTGAATGTCTGATCAGGCATGCTGAAAACATTATCCATAGTTATACTCAAGTGTTGTGTTTGACACCATGTTTGCTTCACTCAATATATATATATATATATATATATATATATATATATATATATATATATAGAAGAGGTCTAACATAGTAGGCCAAATAGGTCCATCTAGCAATTTAATCAGAAAATTGTGCCACACTCCATAACTAGTTTCCACAGCATTCCGCTTCATTGTGGTATTCATTATCGTCAACTTTAGGTGGGGCACTAGTCCTTCTGGCAGCTACAATTTGCTTTTGGGTAAAAGTTTACACTTCGGGATGCTTGCACTGTAGGCCAACTTTCTTTCTTCTCATTAATTTTTTTTAGTGACTTTCCTTACGCTCTATGTAATGCATCAACTCAGATCTTTCTGGCAATTCGACCATAACATTTACATTGAAATTTTCTAGAGCAAGGCCCAAGGAAAGATAAACTCTTAGGGCACCCAGCCGCAGCACAGTCTAAAGAAAAACTATGGAGTCTATGGATGGGAGTAGCACCCCATATCAAGGATATGGGCACCAAGTACATCCATGAGTGTCTTGTCAAACTTGCAGTGATGATCATTTGAAGAGAATCTGTTTGGCTGTCATGGCATGATTTAAACTAAAATGACCCTTCCTAATCTTGAATTGAATTTTTTTCTCCCCTCTAAAAGTTTGACTTCTTAAGTAAAGGCATGACAATGGCAAGTTGTTCTTGAATTATAAATGTAATGGTATATGCTTACAGGTCAAAGGACTTTCTAAAGAAGAACTAGCTACCCGTAGTGATCTGGTTCTTGCACTACCTGAGAGAATTCAAGCTATACCAGATGGCACCACAGTTGCAGGCAAACAAACTGCACCCTGGGCAGCTTTAGCTTCTCATAAGAAAATCAAATTTGACTCAGGTGACTTTTGTTGGTGAATCTCTTTCTTGGGTTCATAATTTTCACGAATGAGAACGTTCTTATACTGTTTTTCCTCTTTCTTCGTAACCAATTACAGATGGATGCTTTGACAGCGAATTGTTTCAACAAACTGAAGAATCAAGCCAATTTAGGGAAGAATATGAAATGCGGAAATTAAAACAGGCAAATAATGCACCTGATTTGACAATTTATTCTTTATTTCTTAATGAAGATCTGTTTCCCACTAATTTGCTTTTTCATTATTTATTTTGAGTATGCACAGGATCAAGGCCTAGACATAATATCAGAAGGTTTGTCCACTCTGAAGGATTTAGCTCATGATATGAATGAGGTTGGCTCTGGTGTGTACTATATTCTCATGTGGGGGCTATCACGTGAAAATAGTATTTGATCATTTATTGCATTTTGTTCAGGAATTGGATAGGCAAGTCCCATTGCTTGATGAAATCGATACAAAGGTTTGAAACTTGTTGACCCACCCCTCCTTTTCATGCTACACACCTATCTTCCTTTTATCATTTCACATTAAAGAAAACGCCGAACATGTTTCATAGCGTAATGCCATTTTGTGGTGTCTTTCCAGGTAGATAGGGCAACAACTGACATTAAGAATACTAATGTTAGAATCAAGGAAAATCTTCATAAGGTAATTGGTTAATAAAGGTTGTCTACCTGATTTTATTTGGTTTTTCTATCAGGTAGGTTGGTTTCAGTATTTCTTATTTCTTATTTTTTTATAGATAAGATCCAGCCGAAACTTTTGTGTCGACATAATTCTGTTGTGTATTATTCTGGGAATCGCATCATATTTATACAAGTAAGCTTCCTATCTTTCTCATTATTAGCCTATAATTGTGTTTGGGGATACATATCTATGATCACAAGTTATGAGGAAATAACAGCAACAAAATAAAAAAAAAAAAACGATATGATGAGATTAATAATAATAACAATAATAAACTCATTATTACTTGATCTGATAGGGATTATATGAAACAATTAAGAAACATAAAAAAAAAATAATAATAATAATAATTGGAATAAGTTAAATGGATGAAATCCGTCCACCAACAAAAAAAAATAAAAAATAAAAAAAAATAAAAAATAAAAAAACTAGACATCTCTAGCCCTCTTGTGCTCGCCAGCTTGATCAGATCTTTCTAGTCATTGAATGATGATATACAAATATAGTTTTATACCTATAATCTTTTATTAAATGGAATGAATTCCTAACTGTTAGCATATATGATACCATGATTTATGGTATGACTTACCATAATAGCATAGATTTGACTATGCATATGTTATCATAAATGCTAGTTAGCATATATGATACCACTAACCTTAATGAATCTGTCCTTATTTATTATTAGCATTTGCTTAACTTGAAAGATGAAACCCAAAAAAAACAAATCTATACTTTATTAGTTATATTGCTACTTTTACTGATTGATCTGTCTTGGTCATGTTTATAATATCAGAGATTTTAATAAACTTTGGAAGGGTTCAGACTTCTCTGATGTGTTTCCAGAAGTGTGGGAGGAATATCTTTTTGTAATGCGGATACAGTTCCTTTCAAGAAATGTTCATAGGATTTTTTTTCTTCTTGTTTTTAATAAGTAAGAAATGTTCTTGCCATATATACTTAAGCTTACATCTGTTGCTGTCAGATCAAACCATGCCATGATTTTGTTGTTTGATTTTTCCTTTTGCACAAATCTCAAGGAAGTTTCCAGCCTAATCCTCTAGCCAATTTTGATGAGATATAGGGCAGACCCAGAAATAGTTTTTTGCGGGGTTGGGGGGAGGAGAAAGGGGTTGAATGTACTGCAAACAGTTTTGGCAAAAAGTAAAAAACAGTTATTCTCTAAATCTGTGGTAATTTTTGTATTAAAAAAGAACAAAACATCACACTTTTAATTCATAAGAAAGTATATTGATGTTTTATTTGCAACCTAGTTAATTATTTGAATTTTGGCGAATATACAACCTAACATGATTTTGACACTTTTTTCACATACAGAGCTTAGTTAAATTCTGCCGAATGAATTTGACAGAAAATAAATGCTTTGATATGACTTCTAGGTTTTAATAAGAAAAAAATCTGGGAGAAAAAATTTTAAGCCATGTTACGGCTCTCAATAATGTTTAAAATGATATTAATTTTAAGTTTTAACAAATTTCTAAATTTTTAAATTACAAAACACTAAGTAATAAATAAGTAGCAAAAGTTAATGAATTATATAAGATTATTTGCTACTTACATAAAAGAATATAGAAAAAAATCTTTGTTGTTAAACCTTTACAAGACACTAATAAAATCAAGCCACCAAAGTGTAAAAGAGACTTTACCTGATTATTGGCTACCAGAAAGTCATTAAAATTTTCTCCAAAGTCCCAACATCTATATCACCATCTGTCATGTAAACAGGATAAAATCTTGCTTATTGTAGAAAAGCTTGAGGGCTGCCAATTTATTCTGGAGACTGGGACATGGTCTTATTAGAGCGTATACAGGATGAATGATTCATGGGGTTAATTCCGTGATACCCTTTGTCAATTAGATATTAAAGCATCATGTTTAACACATATTGCATTTGACTCCCTGTAACTAGTCGGAGCATTGTCAACAAAACTGAGATAGAATTCAGCAAGAGCTGCAAGAGGATGTAGCTAATAGAATACCTGGGTACAGAAAGAACAGAGGAATGAGGATATGAGTCCATAGAAATAAAACACAGCCATCCTAAACAGCTAGGACAGCTAAAAGAGAAAGTAGATCAGAAAATACAATGCAAGTCTGTCACCCCAAAAGAAAGGAAGTGGAGACAATCAGAGATAATCTGCCTAGCCACTGCTTTTGCTAATGCAAGTCTGCCACCCCAAAAGAAAGGAAGTGGAGATGATCAGAGATAATCTGCCTAGCCACTGCTTTTGCTTCTCTCCTCTTGTCTTCATGCAGTCTTAAATTTCTCTCCTTCCAAATTTGTTAGGTAGCACCATTAAAAACTCCCTTTATCAACCTTGTCTTACCCCTTGAGATAGAAAAGAAGTTCAAAAACCAGTAAACCAGTTCACTGAAGAAATTGATCTGATGCAAACCATTCCAACTGTAGCTTTCAAAAAGCCACTCCAAATCTGTTTTGCAAAATCACGCTCGTAGAATAAGTGTTGAACAACATCTCGTGGCATATAGCAGCCAAAGGGATGTCTCTCCTCCTCAAATTACAGAAAGATGAAGGCATCATGCATAAGATGGCTACTACCTTCTTCTTCTTTTTTCCTATTTCATTTTAGGTGTGCTTTTCTTTTTCAAAAAATAAAAGGCTCCTTCCCATCATACAATATTAGCAGAGCTTTTGCTTTTCGTTTTCCCACTCATTTGCTTTAAATTTTTCCTTTTTTCTTTTCAATTCTTGAAGTATATAATGTTTCAATCACGCAATATCTCCGTCTTTTCACTCTTCATATCCTTTCTACTCAGCCAAATAAAACAGGGAGGGGGTTTCCATCCATTCTACCTTCTATTCCATCTACCTTTCCATCCTTCATAGCAACTGGAACATTAGACTCATTAATCGGTTAGCCTGGTTAGGTAATAGCACCCAAAATCATGATTAGCGTTCAAGGAAGCATTTGCTCATGGGAGAGTTTCACCATCAGGTCTTCTTTCTTTTTTAGATCTTGCTGCTTCTTGCCTGTGTTGGATAGAATTCATTTTTATTTAAACTAGTATCTCTTTGATAGTTAAATTACAATATTGTAGTTTAATTGCAAGCAATTTGGACACTTGATGAACATCCAATACCCAACTGAAGGGGAGTATTAAAGAATAACATGATGGAGCAATTCATGGGATTCCTAGACCTTGGTTCAAAGTACATGATTGATTCATGAGACTGATTCCATGATATCATCCATTAGATATTCAAACATCACGTTTAACAAATCTTATATCACATCCTATAAGTAGCGTGGTGCAACATAAACACAATCAAGATAGAACTCAATAAGAAGATGTTGGTAAGGTTGTGGATGCACCGTCATGCACGGCATAGTTTGAGCCATGTTAAATTGTGTCTTGTTCTTCTCGCTTCATATTTCTTATTTCTTTCTATCATGTCTATTTTCTTCATGGACCTGATGGTGCTCTCTGTGTAGCTTTCCTACTCTGTATAATATTTTAAATATCGTCTCATACTATCATGGCTGCTCTTATTCCTTTTGACAAACCAGCTAATACAATTTTTGTTCCAGTTGTTTTTTTCTTTCTTCAAAAGTATATTCTCTGAGAGATTATTTTGACAGAACTTTTCTTCATTTGATGCAGTATACTGAAGTAAATTATCCTAAAACGTTTCTCATACTTCTGGATTGATATTCCTGCTGTCCGGTATAGCATTCTCCAATTTGATTTAGTGCTTTCTGCATGTTTCTTTCAATGTCTTCAATTAATTTTTTTCTGTATTGCTCTCATAAAATTATTATCTTTTGTAGTCATAATGGCATTGGTAAGATCTGGGACTGTCAAACATGAAAATGAAGGTTCAAGTGGGAGGACAGCCAGTTTGTGCAAATAATACCGAAGTTTAGGTCTGTACCCCGTCCGCCCTTCCCAACGTTTTTAATTAAATGGGAGCTTACTGCATAATGGCCTTTTAGATTATAGGATTGATTGCCTGAGACTATATCAGCACTACCTCATTCTGGGTCAGCAGGTGTTACTGGTATATGGACAGATTGTACAACTTTTCTTCTAATAAAAAATATTATTGCTTTCAATTGTATTTATTTCATGATAAATTTGTTTACTGTGATATCATGTAGATTGCCTCCTTTAAGTTTCTTTAATCGTGAGACTTATAAAAAAAAAAGAAAAAGAAAAGTTTCTTTAATCGTGAGGAGAATGAATGTGCAAGTATGAGCCTCTTAACTTAAGAACCTATCTATCTTCTCAACACTAGTGGGGTTGGCAATTCGTGTTAATGGGTAGTGTTATGTCAAAATAAGACTATAAGAGTACTTTGTTAATCTGTCAACCCGAATTTGATCCATTTTTTAAACGGATCAAACACCATTGACAAAAAATACTGTCTTTTTATTATACAGGTAATAAGACTAACCTATATAATAAATAGGTCATATATATATATATCATGTAACACGATACGATCCGTTTAGCAATCTATTTTTCTTAATTATAAAATGCAAATATAAACAAAATAAAATAAATTATTGAGTTAAAAAGTTATATAGAATAATTTTATTTTATTTTATCTCAATAAATCACCCAATTAACTGCAGGTTTTACTATAATACCTTTCTACTTTAAATATATTACCTATTACACAGGATATTTTTTTGGGTTGACATGATGATGACACAAACACAAATAAAGAAAGACTAAATGATCACTAATTTTGTGTTGGGTTCAAGTCATGTTGACGGTTATGTCAAATTTTGCCATCCCTAACCTAGAGCTATGCTTTGCAACTCATTACTAATATGAATTCGTCGCACCATTCATCCTCCTTTTGTGGCAAGTTTGAGCCTAACAAAACCCTAATTTACAACAAACTAGGCCTATCTATTTTTTCTTCTTCTGTTTGAAAATCTAAATTTTCTTGTAACTAATTCTTCTACATGCTTTTGTAGCAAAGTCATGCTGGCCTTGAACTCGTTATATGAGAATGATCATGAATGAACTAGTTTATTTTTTTAATGATGTGGTAAGGTGTGAGATTTGATTTGATTCTCAGCTAGAGGCTCTGCTTGCTCTCACTCCCTTTGGCCGCTTATCGTGTAGGCTCGGCTCCATCCTATAACCTCCTGCTTCAGCCTCTCTAAATTCTGCTATCACTCATTACTTCTATATAGACCTCTCTATTTATTGGTTGACCTTCTAAAAGCTTCGCCAAAAGCAATTAGTTACTTTCTGAATGGCTCTTTACTTTAGTATGGTCTAGTATTTCCAATGTCCCATTGCTGCCAACTTATGTTAATGATAGCTTCCGCATCTTTCTTGCCTGCTGATTTTTTTTTTTTTTGGTAAGTCTGCTGAAATTAATGTGAATGATAGTGAAATTCTATTGAACTAGCTCATGAAATTCTATTCTGAGGATGAAATTGCTGATCCTATCATTGTTTACAAAGAGCCGGACGATGAAGAACCCTGGAGGTGAGTCAGAGAAGAAGGCAACCCTCACTCAAGCCATGCTGTAAGTGTTCCATAGGGCAGGGCTGCAGGGGTATTAGGTTATGATGGTATCTATAGGATAAAGGAGGAAGAAATCCTATAAAAACTGTAAAAGCCTTTAAAACAAGAGTTATAAGAAGTTTAGAACTTAGGCTATCCCCCTATTTAGGGTTTATGTGAATAGGCCTTCAAAACATATAGAAAAAAAAACCACATAAAGGATTAGCCTAATAGAAGATAGGATACAATAGTTAGGTGTCACCCCCCAAGTCTCCCATGGGGGATAGACTATAACACATATACAGAAACTTAATCAGACTCTATATAACCATACATGGAATAAGTTGGTCTTTAACTAAGTCACACAAAGTGGGAGCTGGAGCGAGAGCGAGTGCAAGAGGAGAGCACGAAATTGGTAAATTCTAAGTTATGTACAGTGGTAGTGGGAGCGGGAAAGCGTGCACAGAGCATGAGAGCGAGAACATGTACGGAGCGTGAGAGCGAGAACGCGCATGGACCGTGAGAGCAGGCCCCTTTTAGACAAATTGTGTGACTTAGGTGCTTACTCCATTCCTTATGAAGGAATGGCGGGCTGGGGAACATCGACAATGGATGTTCTCATATTCACTGTATTATTGTCTTCTCCAAAACAATATTTATGAAACCATAAATTCATATAGAGGTCTTGTAGAATTATGCATTGAGCCATTTGGTCACTAGCTTATATGCCCCTCCGCCATAGATTATACAAAAAAAATCATTTTTCTCGAGGAGGGGAATGTGGCAATCACTCGAGAGGTGAGCAAACGTTTTCAACCGTTGGTATTAGGATCTTAAAATGATTTCAATGCTTATTAGATACTCGTTCAATGCTTATTGAATATTAGTATATTAGAGGCTGAAGCTTAAGGTTGAGTTTGCCGGCTTTATGGTTTATGTAGTACAAAGGCTTACAGTTAGGATGTTTATTTTATATTTTATTATTATTATTTTTAAGATAAGCGTCAGAACATCAATTACCAAAAAAACTAAGAATAGGCAATGAATCTCAAACACACCAGGGGGCACACAAATAAACTATAGAGATGTCACGTACTATAAGCAAGATAAATGATACATCCAAAAAAAAGGGGCCAAACGCACCCTAAAGGACGGCCTGTCCCAAGAGAATGGCAACTCAGAACATTCAATCGTGGTTGAAACTAGGAATGGTGTGAAAAAGGACAACATGCATGCAAACTTGGTTGAAACACAGCTAACGACATGAATGCTCACACTGATGCACCAACTTTCACACAAACTTGGCTGAATGGAAAAAAACGGCACTCTATTTTTAAACCGATCGAAATACAATAACCACACGAGCGAGTTTTAAAGAGAAGCTTAAAAGCGGTTCTAGTTCATGGACTAGTCTATCAATCCAGTTTGGTCCTGGAGTTGCATGCAGTGATGAGGATTTAAAGATCTCCAAGGTTTTCAGAATTCACGAAAGTTGTTACATAAATCATTTTGAGAGCAAATGTATCACTAATCAATTAAAGACAATAAATAAAACTTTTTGAAAATAGCTTCCAGACACTGAACATAATTCTTCACAAAAATTCATCAATTTAGGACTCTCTTAAAAAAAAATTGAGTTGAAATTCTCAATGTTAATGCGAAATAGAAAAATTTTACCCTGCGAAAAAAACAAAGCAATGAGAGTAATTGTGAGACCCTCAGAAAAAGTATGTTAAAGTAGAAGAAAAGTGGCGAGAAATGCTACAATTGTTTGGAGTATTAGAAAGGGTTCAATCTGGAAGAAATGATCTCTTATACTTGTTGCCTTGTTCTGGTCTCTGAAAACAGGGCAGAACAAAAAGTAAATAACTAAACCACCTGGTCGCCTATTTAACATACAACCTAGGAAACAGAATAGAGTATAGGTAGCACTAAAAGAAGAAATATTTTTGCAAAAAAAAATCCATCGACTTTCACTTGGATATTCTTTTTCCTTTTTCTTTCTAGTTCGAAATATATTGAGTTCTAAACTGAATGTCTCAGGACATTGACAGTATTCATATTATCAATTTTGCAAATTGAGAACATAAAATATGCAGATACTCAAATAAAGTTCAAACTTTACATTAGGCAATCGTAAACCATGCATATATATTACAGGCACATGATTCAGTAATATTTACTACTAATACCATGGTGGCATATAAAATATTGTCCATGTGCATTTTATTTACAGTAAGTGATGTATGCCATCCTTCTTCAACCTCCTGTCTGCTCGACTTAATTAGAAACCGTGTCCTTATGTGGAAGGTTGCTCTATTGCTGTAGAAATCTTTCGGTGAAGAAAGACTGATTAAGCTCCTGTAATGTAATGATGGCGTCCGATGGATTAGGGTTGAAGATGTCTCCTTGAGACGGACTGTGACTGTATAAGTTTGTATTCTTGGTGGGTAGTGTATTGCCTGGTAGAAGATCCTCATTTTTGTTGTCATTGCTTACCATCTTCGTAGATGGAAGGACATTCTGGTAGCCTCTTACCTCGTTGGCGAGCTTTGCCTTGGATGGGCTGAAAAAGTTGTCTTGGTAGCTTGAACCACAATTGTTGCCCTCGTTGTTGTATTGAAAACTTGGACTTGAAATGGTCTCCATAGGAGGAAGAGTTTGACTGTCAAGCATGTAAGGTAATGGATGGCAATCTTTGTATAGTAAATAATCTGTTATAACATCTGGATAAGGCTCTTTTTGTGGGGAAGGGAGCTCCTGAATCTTGGACAAGCACCCCACCGGTTCCTTTCTGGGGCTTCCAACTTCCCATGTGTTCTTTGACATGTTGCCTTTTTGTCGAACCCGACATAATACCCAATCATCCAACTGTGACAAAAGAGGCAAATCTTTCCACGAGTCAGTTTGGTTTATTCTATTTAGATGTATAACAGTGAACATTATTGCTTTGTGTTTATTACACAATGTTATCAATGTACTAATTCTAATCATTACCATTAAGTTAGTCCTAATTGATGGTGAAAGAAGAAGATTATTATTTGGAGCATGCTTGAGGTCATTCAATTAAGAAAATGCTAATCACTGCCATTAAGTTAGTCCTGATGAGTTACCCACCTAATTCAAAGAACTTCTTAGGCATATAAAATGCTAATTGAACCCCACTGGTGATGCTACTTCACCAACCATTGAAACTCAGAGAATTTATCGAGTCTTTCTATTAAAGATGTTTCATGCCTCTAGCAGTGAGAGAATTGAGATATATTGGTGTGTGCCTTCGAAATATCTTAACGTTTACCCTAATAATGGTCCCACCTAAATGGGGTGCTAGAAGAGAAAGATTGGAGGTACACCTAAGTTTTGACATTATTTTGCACAAAGTGACTACTCTCATACTCGACCCTACGTTTTCACTGTTGTCAATCTGAGTTTTTACCATTGCACCAATTAGCCACTCACAAAACACTCAAAAATCATTATCCCATGAATGGGATACTATTGAATATGCGGCAGATAATAGGGGTTGTGTTGTTTTCTTAGGCTCCAATGGGTTGTGAAGAGATCAGCCTGAAAATATTAACCTCAATTCTCAAAGTAACAAGTATATGGTGAAAAGTGACTCATCACATCCAAGACCAGTGCAGCTTTTAGATCTAGCATTTTAGATCTAGCATTGATGATGAATAGATTTTTTCAAAATTGAGTGGAAAAAATAAATTATAGACCTTAAATAAAAGAATTAGTCTTATAGATACCTATGAGGGCAAAAGAGAAATTGGAAATTGCTTATTGTTGTTGTACACCTTTGTGACATATTTTCGATTTATCTAGGTCTGGGTGATGAATCATCTTCTGTCCTCGAGTTATTTCAACTTTTCTGATATGTAAATTAACTTATTCAACTAAAATGACTCTGTTGAAAGTTGTACACCTTTGTGACATATTTTTTATATAATAACTAGGTCTAGATGATGAATCATCTTCTGTCTTCGAGTTATTTCAACTTTTATGGTATATAAATAAGGACTAGACAATATATTCAATCCTAGTGTGACAGGAATAAATCATTGGTAATAACTGATAAACACTGACTCTCATGGATGCTTTTAACTTTGATGGTCGATTCATTGTCTCGGGCAATCTGTACTCATTCATTATCCAATCTGTCTTCATTCCTTTTGGAGGCCTTCCTGTATAAAAGACTAGAGCTTTCTTGACCCCAATTCTTTTTGATCCAGAAGAAGTAAGAATGGGCTTGTCTGTCCCAGTAGCTTTCCAATATCCTGAAGCTGCTGATCTCTTAGGCCTTGCTCCATTAGGGTACTTCCTGTCTCTCGGGCTAAAGAAATACCATTCTTCTTCTCCAAACAAAGCCTTCTCTGTAAATTTGAAAAACAAAAATAAACGAAAAGAAAGTATTAGCTTTAATATCTAAACGTAGACGAATGAACTAGAAGAACAGATGGTGGAGAACAGAGAAATAAGAGAATAGATGGTGGAGAACAAACTGGGTAGATCCCATGGATTATAGTTATATAGTTCTATTTCAGTGATAACGGATGCTGGCAATTGGCGTGATTTCACTTTGTTTAGCAAGTAATGAACGATGAGCTCTTCGTCAGAAGGGTGGAACCTGAAACCAGGAGGGAACTGGAAACTGGAATTGGATTCTGTCTCCATGAAGGAAAGCTGGCTCCTTCCTTCTTGTCTGATGAGGATTCTATGAGTTTCACTAATCAACGTTATTACCAACTTCAGCAGTTGTGATATTGCGAGCACAGTGTTAAGGCATTATAAAGGGTTGATTGCATGCACGTGTGGACATTATTCAAGACAATATACAGCAAAGAAGCAGATGATTTACGTAGAGGTTTAAAGAAATGGATGAGGAAAGTGACCTATGTTTTGGCTATGGTTGTTGGAATTGTATTTCCTCTCCCCTCATCTCTGTCGCATGAGACTTGTATATTATTTTAGGCTATAAATAATAATATGGTGCACATCGGTACCACTGTTCCGAATTGTGAGCTTTTTTTGCATGTTTTGATACATTGTGCATATCGTGGCATAGTAGTTGAGTTTATTATCATTGTCACAATTGTGTTACGTCGTGTTTTGTCCCTAAAAAACGTGCATAAATAGAAAATTTAACAAAAACTCTTTTATATATTCACATTAATAATCATATCAACCCACAGTAAGAAAAAGGGAATTTGCAATACGAAAGTATGAATCCATCTTTATTGAACTATTGGCCTTTGATAATGGTTGAACTCTGACAAAAAATTGAGATGAGTTTGATTATTCAATACCATTCTGATGTATTGCATGATTCGAATCTTTTGATCAACATGCATTGATCAAAATTACAAATTAAACAAGAGACACAGGTCAGTGTCAGTGATTAAGTATGTGTTCATTATGAACTAGTACAATAGCCTATTAGAAAATTGGTGAGTAGGGAATGTAAAGATGCTCTTCTTAACTCCATCTCTGCCGTGGCATAGTTATGTCCGACCTAAGGTTCGTGGAGGTCCATGTGTGTCGTCAAGTGCATAAACATAATAAAGCCAAAGTAACAACCTGGAATTTGCTGCCCCTTCCCTCATTTGGACATGTGGTTCGTTTTTCTTTCTTTCCAAATTTTCTGCAATAATTTTCTTAGATATCTGTTCTTGAGTTACAAAATTTATTCTCTCTGTTGTTAAAGAATTGAGTTCTTCTAGTTATGTTGAATAAACATCTGAAGATTTTAAGAAAGTAACTCAATATTTGCTGGTTGATTTGCAAAAGATTTAATTTAGATGAATATTGATTTCGACAATTAGTACAGAATATATTGTTTATGATGTTAATGAAGGTGTGTGAATACGCGTACTCTTTGTTTTTTTTTTTTTAAATGAGAATTGCTAAATCTGAAAAGAGATAATAAATAAAAACAAAAATTGTTGCTTGCCAGTTGCCACCTCTTGTTTGAAATGAAACTCTTGAAGAAGTACATAAAAAGGATATACCCATTCATAGGAATAGAGCAGGCCTGACCTGTTTGTTGATACCTTTTGCTGCTAAAAACACCTTGTTTATTGAGTTGGTTTTTCAAAGTAAAGAGTTAGATTCTCCTATGTTTTTTTATAGATTGTCTAACGTATGCTCCTCATATATACTGACTTGCTAATTCAACTAAAAAATAACGTAAACATCACTTTGTGCCGAATCGAAACAAAAAACTTTGAATATAACCGACACCAGGAGTGAAGAGAATTTTAAGGACAGAGAAGTCAGTAAAAAAAGGTATAGCTGGATAGTGAAGCTTCGTCGAACAGTACAAGCCGATGATCCCCAGGCCTTACTTTGTTTGCTAATGGCCTGCAGGTTGAGATTTGAGTTTTATCTTTTCTGCATGAACTTAATAAGCATGTCAAAGGAACTTAGTTGGCATCGAAAAGACCATGTCATTTTGTGTACAGGACATAGATTACGAATCCTAGGGAGGATTTGTTTCAATGTTTTTACTTTTTCAATGTTTTTGTTCAGTAACTTATCTTATTTGTAATGTACCGTGAATGAGACTTGGAATGAATAATGTATACAGGACAATAAATCATGCTGGAGAATAACTTCAATTCCAAGAGGAAAATGGCTCTCTCGCTTATTATTTGTCATTGATTGTTATTTATTTATTTATTGTTTTTTTATATTTTACTTTATTAAATTAGGCTATGTAGATCTGGTATAGGAATGGGGTGTCAGGTGACAAAATCAAGGAATTTCCCATGAAATTTACCCCAAATGAATTGAGAGGGGTAAAAGAAGAAAGTTGGAGTACAAAGGGCATGGATGGTGACAAAAGTGGGAATAAATTGTCAAGTCCTAGGCCTATAAAAGCAAAGTGTGTGAAAGATAACATGACTAATGAAACCCTAAAGAACCCACCTTATGCAACCTCTTGCAGCTATATCTATGGTGTGTGTGTGTGTGTTATATATTATTTCTAAAAAATGTTATTGTTTAGTGTAATGGTAAAAACCAGGTCTGACAAGCTTGAGGAGGCATATTGGAGTATGAGATCATGTGATAAAAGGTTAGTTTGTTTGTCTCCCAATGCTTTCATTCTTTTTATGTGCTTTTTTTATTTGGTGCCCATAACTTTATTATCCATATGGCATATGAATGCAAACTCATTGGGAAAGTATCACATTTGATCTATTAGATGTAATTTAGTCATATATATAGTTGATTGTGGTAAACTGCTTGAAATTGTGGTATCTATCTTCTTGTGATGTATTCTCCATTCTATATCCTCTGTTTATTGAGGGGCTGTGTGATTTTAAAGGTTTTTTAGTTTGTGATTTTTCATAAATATTTTATAAACAAAGACCATGGAACTTTTGTTTTGAAGATGCATTTCACGGTATTCTTAATTTTCTATAGGGAGAGAGAGGGAGGGCACTTTTAGTAGATTTGGAAAAAACTCAAATCAATGAAAGCCATTTTTCAACTATTGTATCATGTTTTGGCATTTTTCTCTAACAAAAATGTTCACTTTTTACTTTTTAGCATATCTTGACTTTCAATTCTTCATTATATTCCTACGGAGTATATATATATATATATATATATAAGTTACATTTCATTATTCAACTTTAAAATTAAATAATATTTGGTCTAATGTATATTAAATGTCTATTTCATTTCTTCATTTTGGAGAACCAAAAACATTTCCTCATTCCTTGTTGAAAAGTTGTCCTCAATTAATATATGATTCGATTAGTAAATCCATCAACCCAAGAGGGTTAGACCTTTTGAATTGAGTCTCTTTGCTTCCGCATGGCCTCCTACATTTGGTCATTCCGGTTGTTTGGAGTATATATCCTAAATTATCCAATTGATCTCCTTCATGTATAAAAAGATGACTAATTCGTATAAAAAATAACTAATTAAGTGTATGGAGACTTCTGTGCTTGCAAAATTTTAAAAAGTTTGGATATACACAATCTTATCTTTTTTCTTATTTCGAGCACATATTGTAATGCAGCAACTACAAGGGTGAATAGTGGAATTTTTTTTTCACTTAATGATAATAATGAATTAAGCAAAGGGTCCAGAGTGAAAAACACTCCTATGGTATGTATCTAGAGTAGGGGTGTGCAAAAAAATCAACTCGAAAAATAAAACTGGGCCGGACTGAATGGGACGGTTTGATCACGGTTTTGAAATAATGGAATTATGGATTTTTGGTTTGGTCCCAGATTAGGGTCTTGTAGGACCGGCCAGATCGAATCGTTATAATATGCATACAAATATATGTTATATACACATATATATACTATATCTATATACCATTAACTTTGGAAAGAATTTCGACACAACGATCAAACGGGAGCTAGCATTCATCATTATTTGATTTTTTAATTTGTTTTTGCTTCTCCCAATGTTTTGATTTATGGGTGCGTGCCAACATTCATCTACTATCTCATTGTTTGTTTCTTTTTGTTCACGTTGCCTCATTCACTTCGAAGTTCTCATCGCCACGGGATCCAGTTGTTGATCAATCTCTCTCAAGTCTCAAGCAACCTTCGAAGTTCGGTCATTGCCGTTGATCTTTTATTATCGCTGCCATCGATGACATCCTCTTTCTCACATTCTCCCCATTCTCTCTCACTTTCAGTTCACAGATCTCTAAGTCTCACGGCGTGTTTGCGCCTCAAAGCATAACCAACAACCACAACGAATCAAGTTTCTTAGTTTTCAACCATGGATTTGTCATCATTCTCAGTTTCAATAAGATTCTAGGGGTTAGCATTTGGGTCTATTTCACCAACTCTCCCCTCTTTTTCTCTCTATTCAAGTCTTGGATTCAGGAATGTGAATACTTTTATTAATATTTTTGTTGTATATACTATTCAAGGGGGAAAAAAAGGGAAATAAAATTTAACTAGAATTGTGAAACCGAACCAAACCTTTTTTTCACAGTTTGGGCTAATTTGGTTCTATGGCTCAAATGGTTAGGTTCGGTTTCAGATTTTTTGGAATTGTAGAGAGCGGTTTGGTTCCAAAAATCCTCAAAATCGGACCAAATTGAACCACGTGCACCCCTAATATAAAATGTATAACCCCTTTTACATTGTAAAAAATTCATAACATTCAATTTTTGAGCAAACAATGGTTTGAATGCCGAAAAGATTAAAGTGTCTCTATATTTGAATTAAAAAAGGGTTAATTTTAGCGATATCCTCTCAGATTTGACTAAATATTACATTGAAACAACTTTCGAAAATAGTTATCACTCACATTATAAACGTTTGGTTCATTTTTTATTCACACCCCAAAAGTTACTTTTTAATTGTGACATTATTTTTTACATATAAAAAGACATTGTTACCCATTGACTTTGTCAAAATTCTCTTTAACATAAAGAATTAATTAAAAGACAAAAATACCCATGCATTTTCCCTTCAATTATACACATATATATGGAAAATGGTGGCAGAACTATGTGAGACTTTATATGAAAATTACTTACCATAGTAATTAAAAAATAAAATGAAAATAAGTAATTTATTGAATTAAACTAAATGAAGGTTGCATACAGTTTCTGTGTACTCCAAGGTCCAATTATGTGGCCACCTCATAGTTAAGAGTACCGGCGAATACTGTGTCAATTTTTATTCAAAACCTGA